GCAGCAGCAGCAGCAGCAGCAGCATTAGCATTTGTAGCAGTAATAGATATTTTAATCCTTCTGCTCTCCTAAGGAGCTTTGGGTGGAAATAAGGTCTTCCCCTCCCTCACTTAACACCCTCCCCCTTTCATGACTACTTTTTGAGGTAGCACAGACTGAGAAGTAGATGACTAGGGCAAGACTAAACCAACAACTAATCCACCGTTTTAACCACCGCAGCCCTTGGCTCTGGGCTCCTGTTTCCTGATAAGATGGGCAGCCCTGGAATACTTATCTCTACAACTCCTTTCAACTTACTGATACTCCTGGGACTCAGAAATGGAAGGACACTCTGCTCTGGTATTTCTACCAGTGGGAGATGAGCTGAACTTTTCTTCTTAAAGGAGGGGGAGGAAGTTCTAGTGGCAGCAAAGAGCACACAAGTACCACTCCCTTGGACGCCTTCATTTCTGCTAGATAGCACATATGAGATTTATGGAGCTGGGATCGAAACTCACTCCACCAGGGCAGATTTTGCACACGAGATTCCAGGTGTGATCACTTTTTGGCAGTGCTCTTCCAGGAGTTAGAGCTAGGTAAGGAGGTACAAACCTGAGATAGGGTTTGTTGTAGCAATTCATGCCCCAATTAACAACCTTTCTCCCCAGCCCACTGCTGCTTTATCATGTAAGTGGTACCTGCATGAGATGAAGAGAAGGCAACAAATTTTGGGGAAATTTTCCATTCTCCACTGGCACAGAGCAGTGGGGGAGTTGGACATAGCTTTATAGGTTTCCTTTTAGATTTTTTTGTGAAAAGGGACTTGATTTGCCCTGAGTCCAGTCTGGCCAGAGTTTGAGATTTAGCAAAGAAGGATTAATACCCCCAGATAATACAGAGATTATCTCTGGGATTAACCATGTTTCCATGGGAACTTATTGTCTGACATCTGAATAGATAAAAATGCAGACACCAGGTTCCACCCAGATAAGGATAATATTATCTAAATACCTGTGAAGGAAAGAGATTGCAATTGTGAAATAGAGATTGAAGGAGCCCAAACTTTAGGCTTTGTAAATCTGGAGTGCTTTGGGGTGCTAGTAGTTTTTGTTTTCTCCCTGGGGATTACCTGATGTGGATTGCTGGTAAAGCAATTTGAGCCTCCTCCACCTGCCAATGATCAGTCAATGCAACCTCAGTACCCGCCTTACCACTTGGTTCTGATTTCTTCCTGCTGCAGTTTCAAGGTTTCATGCAAACAGAGATGTTCCATCTACAACAGCAAATATTGCAGCCTTGGGCTCTTCTACCTGGCAGCCTCTATCTGCTTGTCCCCTGTATAGAAAGTGGCTGGAGATGAAGTTGGCTGAAATAATTCAGTCCGTTCTTCAGTTTTGGTGATGGTGTTGGCTAGGAGTTCTATCCAGACAATGGCTACCGTGGTCCCTGACTGATGGATTCCCTTGCTGCTTTATCCCACCAATTGCTCTTACTTCTGATGACATGTTGTTTCCATTGATATAGCTCCTGTATGCGCCTCTTTCCATTGACTCCTCCTTATACCTGAAATCTTCCCATCTGGCATACCCACTGGTAGAGCAGTGAAAAAAACAACAACTGAACAAGCCACAATTTGTAGCATTCTTTCTGTCGCTTGGGCTAGAGGGAGAAACTGGCAGAACTCTTGTTGATTTCACACGGTTTAAAAGAGAAAGAAACATTCACTGTGTTACTGGTTTACTGGTGAACCTGTTGGGAAAAAGAGTTCAGTGGCTTACTAGTTCTCTTTGACCAGTTATTGCTTGCCCTAACCCTTGTAACGCTATTTATATGTGCAGATAGGAACTAGTGAACTGATGCTCAGAGCACTGTTTATCGGATTAATACAAGGAGCCCATATACAGTAATGCCAGAGACCTGCCTCCATAGTACACCAGCATTCAGGTTATACATGGGTGTGTTCCTCTCCTTGAATGCAGACATTCCCAAAGTGGCTATTGGTGACAATGATCAGTGACCAGAGGGGAGACAGCACACTGGCGGCTCCATGCATTGTCTAGTAGGAGTACAGATGTTGTTCAGACTGAATTAAAGAGAGAAACTGCACACCCAAGCGTGTACTGGTACAAGGAGGAAAACATGACTTTTGAAGTGGAACAAGAGAACATAATTACAGATTGTCTCTGTGCTGGGATAGATGTGAGGTGAGGAGGATGATTCAAGCCCTCCCAATGCAACTACTGCAGTGAGGGGGTCATGCAGAAGAGCCATTGTCCTGCACGGTGGCATCTGCATGGCTATTGGACAGGCACTTGGACTCCATACTGCTACCCTGGCTATGTAAAGGGGTCCTCATACAAAACCAGCATGTCTAGGGGAATGCCACCTTGCTGGGCAGATGAGAAGTTTGCTATTTGCTTTCTTTTCCTTTTTGGGAGCCAGGTGGAATAAATATGAGCTTGGGACAAAACTGAGGGGTAAGTACCGGGCAGCAGATGAGCGCTGATTGGCTGAGACATCTCTGCTTTCATCTCTTGGAAAGGAAAAGCTGGTTGTGTCTGGCTGTTGGGTCTCTATGAGCATTGTAGACTCACAAATAAGTGCAAATGCCCATTTCTGTTGCATCATGGTATCCTAACGTGCCAGGATGATTGCTTAATGCCTGCTTCCTTTTAATTGTTGATGTGACGACGTGGCAATAGAATGTCTGCTTTTCTGGAAGTGCCTCCTGGCTCTTTCAAGATATGGAAACCGTGGAGTTTGATTGAATATCTGACTGCTGATGCTGCCCCTCCACCCACACCTAACCTGCCGAGAACCCTAGATTTGGAAGAGAACTTGGAGGCCTTCTAGTTGAACCCCCTGCCCAGGGCAGGAATCCTCAGACCATTCCAGACAAATGGCTGTCCAACTTTTACTTGAAAATCTACAGGGATGGAGCACCCACGGCTCCAGGAAACACGCTTTTCCACTGCTTAATAGTTCTTATGGTCAGGACATTCCTCTTTATTTCAAGTTAGGTTCTCTTTCTGTAAAGCTTCCACCCACTGGTTTTTGTCCGACCCTTGGGAGCTACAGAGAATAAATCCTCAACCTCCTCCTTGTGGCAGCCCTTCAAGTACAGGTAGTCCCCAGTTTCAGAATAAGTTCCGTTCCCAAGGTCTGTCCTTAAGTCAAATTTGCATGTAAGCCGGAACAGTTTTATTGTATATTACTGTATAAGTAGTATTGTGTAATGAACTTGAACCATTGTGTATTTAACTTGAATCAGTGTGTATTTAACTTGAATTTTGCTACAATAGGTTCCGTTCTTAACTATGGGTTGTCCATAAACAGGGCATTCTTAACCTGGGGACTACCTGTATTTGAAGACTGCTGTCATGTCTCTCCTTAACCTTCTCTTTAGCTTTTAATTGTTTGTCATAGGAATTAGCATCCAAGTCCCTCTCCATCTTCATTGATCTTCTCTGCACTCTTTCAGGTTCTTCAGCATTCTTCCTGTATTATGGTGGCCAGAACTGAACATAGTATTCTAGGTCCGGTCTGACCAATGCAGCAAGGAACAGAGCGATCACTTCCCATGTTCTCAACACTATACCTCTGCTGATTCCATTAGCTCTTTTGGCTGCTGCAGCACACTGCTGGCTCATGCCTAATCTGCAGTCTACCATGACATCCAGATCCTTCTCAGAAATCCTCCTGTAAAATACTTAGGTACAGTTGTTCAACTAGTTGCAAATTCATCCATAGTGGGGCCATCCCTCCCACGTTGTTTAGTTTTATCAGGAAGGAGACTATAGTTAGCTTTATCAAATGCTTACTGAAATCTAAGTACAGTACATTACATCCACAGCACTGCCTTGGGTTATAAATCTAGTCACTTTGTCAAAAAAAAAAGCAATAAAGTTTATCTGGCATAACCTGCTTTAACAAATCCATGCTTGCTTCTAGCAATAATCTTTTTCCTGCTTTTTCCTAGGATTTTCCCAGGTATGGAAGTTCAGCTGAGAGGTGTGCAGTTTCCTGGGTCCACTTTTTCCATTTTTTAAAAAATGGGAACAACGTTAGCTTCTCTCCAATCTTCCAGCATTTCCCCTGTACTCCAGAACTTCTTAACTGCAAAATGCCAAATGACCTTCTTCTCAACTAAGCCAAACCAAAATAAGGACTGCATTCTGTAGATTTATCCCTACTTAGTGCAGCAAGTATAGCAATATACTAAAGCCTACAACTACAACTTAAATCCACGGGACTTAAAACTGCTTAACAGTGTTGGATCATATGGTTTGACAGATTGTATTATGACTGTCTCTGAATGAAGGTTAGGTTGTTTTCCATTTCACTTCAAACCTAAGAGGGTCCTTCCCTCTTCTGTTACTCTGAGAAAGCATACTTGATCTCCAGAGCAATTCCATTTATCTTGGACCATCTCCCTCAATATATGTGAGTCACAAAGGAATACTTCAAAAGCTGCCTTCTTGAGCCTCCAGCCACTCCTCCTGAAAGGATGAATGAAAATATTCAGTCCTCCAGACCTATGGTTGCAATCACATGTCAGTGCCAAAATAGAGGCCAGTTTGCAATTCGTGAATGCAGGGGTGTCTCAGCAGGAACCTAGGTCAGTGTTTATGAAAAATTTCCCCCACAGTCCCAAAAATCAATTCAGTGCAAAATACTATACCAGGCCTTAGGTCAATCACTGGCTCTCTTATGAGAGAGTGGTGTTAAATCTATCATGTAACATTTGAAATGACTAAAGGAACCTGATCCAACTCCCTTGTCAGTTCATTGACAGGAAGCAAATGAAGAGCTACAGTGAGTTTCTCTCCTTTGGAATGTTGATAATGCTCAAGAGAGTAACAAGGAAGCTATAAAAAACCTGCAGATCAACTACGGAGTTGTGTTTCTCATGAGAAAATATGGCATCACATGATGCTGCAGTTAGGCAAAAGAGCAGGCAGAGATAAGTCCTTATGAATAAGTCCTTATGAATAAAAATCTTCTTATCATAGCCAACACATTGGTTTGCTGCCATACAGATGTAAGGAGAGTCCTGCTGGGTTCAAATAAAGGTCTTTTTAGCTCAAGCATCTGCCTCTGAGAAATTTAGAAGATACTCATATTTGTCCTCAGCATCTGGTAATCTCACTATGGAGGCTCCATATCATAAAGTCTTTCTATGTAAGACAGCATATATAACAGACAATAATAGAAATTCATTCTAGAACATCTAAATTTAAATCTCTCTCTAGCTCTAAGTAGTATCCTCTCAGTCATATCCATCTAACAGACCTGTGAGAAGTCAAAACAGGCCAAAATCTATCAGCATGATGCCTCAAGCTCCTTGGATGTTTTATCATCTGTACCAAATTGAGGATTTTACAACAAAAAATCATTGTGGCAGAAACAAAGCATAATTCTGTGGAATCATTGAGATATATGTTAGAAGACACAACACAGCAGAAAGTTTAAAAATGAGGGAGAGGGTGCATTTAATACGTTTTTATGTTTTCAAAAATGTTCCTCAAACTATGAGATATATAAACAGACATCTTGTTAAGAAATAAAACATTTCCATAAACTTTCACCAGCTACTGTAGTAAATGATGAATCCTAACCATAGTCATTTAAAAATTAATTCTCCGTGGAAAGCTTCTAGTGGAAGCAAATCCAATAAAAGTCTTTATTATTTTGGACAAATATGGAGAGAAAATCAAATACAAGGAAAAGAAAACGTAATGTTCTGTCAGCACAATCCCTAAAGCCCAGGATTACCATAATGAGTACTATAGAGAGAGAGAAGTATGCAGCTTCCAGATTTTTCAAAGTATGTGTTTTTGTTATGAGTCTTGTTTGAGACTTAAATATTTGCCTTCAGATTAGTAAACATTTTCACTTGGTGACCATGCAGAAATCCAGTTTGTGATTGTTTCTTGTTTTGATGGCAATAAATAACACTTAATGTGCATTAGAAGGATTGCAAAAATCTTTGCTGGACAGAGGAAGCAGTAGCACAATTTTTAATAAAGTCCAATGAAAGGAATTTGTTTTCCCAACATTTCTTAGGATCCAATGACACTTAGTGGTGAGATCTGAGAACTGCTGGAGGCTTGGGATTCTTAGAACTAGGTGAATCTGAAATCCCCTCTCTGTTTACACACTGTGGAATGAAGCAAGAACTATAATAGAATTCCTAAAGTAATAGATGTATTACTCCCTGAATATGAGAAACTCAAGACAATGCTGGCAATGTTTTAATAGTAATTAGAGGAAGCTTTCAGATCACACAGATATACTGTTCAAGCTTCCAAAAGAGATGCCCCGTAGTTGGGTTTCTGTCTCTGGATTTCAAGTACATTAGCCAAGGGACTGGCAGCGCATTGCCCATGGACACCAATCTGCTAGTGAACACCTTTCTTGATGTCTACTGGACCCTCCACCAATACTTGATTTAAAAAAACCAACAAAATAAAATCAGGTGTAGCAGAAAGCCCACTATGTAGGGCAAGTCTTTTAATAATAAAAAAATTAAATAGGCAGCTGGTACGTTGCCGAGCAAAACAACCGCTTCTAGCATCCACTTTATTTCAGAGAATGTCTCTGGACCTTACACAGGCTTCATAGTCATTCTTATGAAATAAAAACATGGTGGCTCGTGGTCTTTTTGGAAATCAGCCAACCTAAAGTATCAGTAGTAAGCATCCTGGGAAATTAAAGAGAATGTCAAGGAGCACCAGTTTGCCTTTGATAAATGGGTACTTTATGATTGGCTATGGCCATCACTTATGGGTCCTATAGTCCAAAACACCTGGGAAGCAGTAGAAAGCTTAGTCATGTCTTAGAATATGGATTATGCTCAAATGGGTGAATACAGTGGATGGATACTATATGGGCAATTTCTATCAAAAGTTGCCAGAAAGAGGGAATCATACTCTATGTCGTACTCCAAGACCAAGCAGCAGAAATGTAGTTGAGGAAGGGGAGGGCCTAAGGAAAGAGAGATATGGAAAAGAAATGAGTAAATTTGGTCTTCAATCTCTCTGCCTAAAATCAGCCCCACTCCTTTACAACTTCCTTGCATTATTTGTGTTCTGCTACTGTGATGTATAGTTAAACCTTTGGCCCTGAATATCAACTACAGTATCTCTCAGATTAACTGGTTGGATTAATATGGTTCTGGCTTGGTTCAATCCCTATGTGACAAGATAAATCATCTCTTTATTTATTTGGGGCCTAAATATATAGCACTTTCTAACAGGAAAGACATATACAGTAACTGGATTTCACACTAGGGCTATAGTCCTACACACACTTTTATAGGAAAAAGTGCCATGAAGGTATACAATACAAACTTATTGTGTTACTCCTTTGTGTTATGCAAGGCACACAAAAGGAGTAAAAATGGTAAGCTAAGAAAGTTAAAGGTATGAAATAAGAAAAAGGAAAAGAAATACAGCAAAATCTAGTTTACATCATTTTATTTACATTTATTATACTGCTTCATACTTTTCTATAACTTTCTATACAAGCAAGCAACCATCTATGTTTCTACTCTAGCCATAAATCACTTGCTCCGTGCATTTTGAATATACCATTTTATTTATTTTAAAACATCTATATTAACTTTTCTCTGAAGAGTTCAAAGAGGTTTCCAGTAAAAATGTAAAAAATGTAACCACGAATACTTTTATATTTATAAATAAGCATTAAACTTTAAATATTAGCATGAAACTGGTTAATGGAAATTTGAGGATTTAGGACATTTGTATTCAATTCCCACAGCCTTGGTTCTAAGTGTATTTAATTTTAGACAAAGCTATAGCAAAATGGAAACAACATTGAACTAACTAAAAAAAAGTCTATCTGCCTGCCTGCCTGCCTGCCTGCCTGCCTGCCTGCCTGCCGGCCTATCTATCTATCTATCTATCTATCTATCTATCTATCTATCTATCTATCTATCTATCCATCCATCCTAAATGCTCTAAAGATGGCAATATATTGTAAGGATTGAAGATTGTAAGAAAGAAAGGTAGAAATATTAGCCGCTTTCTCTTTTCCTGTCCATATAACAGCAGCCTTCCTCTACTTGCTATCTTCTGGATATGTGGGTTTCCAGTTCTATCAGATACGTGGTGGGTCCCCATTAGTGATTTATACCATATTTTAGCATTACTGAGCCATCCCTTGTTCTTATTGCTGTTATTCTGGCACAATGATGGTTCAGTAATGGTAGAAGATGCTCTAAGTTGCTAGTGCAGAAGTTGCCAGTCTAACACAGCTTTGCTTCAGTTTGGGGAAGGCTATGAACAGGAGTTGAAAACAGACTGGTAGAAAAATAAGCCTCTGCTGCCACCTGGAGTATAAACATTATTGTTTTAATATGGTTTTCAGATATGCTGGTTAACTGTTGTTACACTCCACTTGTGCATAACCATGGTGCAAATGTGCCCTGGTGACACTTTTTTCCTGAACATTTTCCATGACATTGCTATCATCGTGCCTCCAGCTCATGATTGAGACAGCCTTAAGTTGCCCTTGATTGATGTTAAACTAGCATTTTCCCCAACAGCATCTCATGACACTTGCAATGTGTGTGAAATCTTTTCACCATCCATTCCATCAGGGACTCGAGGCGGGTAGAATCAGCCTGGACTTACTGGCTGAGGTGGGCATATCCACCCCACTTCCAGTTTGCAGGCTGTCTGCTGCCATTCTGTTTTAACCCCAAAAGAGCTCTGCATGATTTGCCCCGTGGGGGATTGTTGTTCCCCTTTTGCAACGCGGAAGGGGCTTCCTTCTGTCTGAACCTCCTGTGTTTTTACACTGTGCGTGTGGGTGCAGAAAGGTTAATTGCACAACTGTAAAAGCTGCTGCTGCTAGTGAAGGATTGGTGCAGAACTGCTGTTGGGTAAAGTGGACTTGCAGAATCGTGCAAGAGTATTAGAGCTGTCCTGCTTTACTGTGCTGTCAACCCAGGGGAAATCAGCATTTATATTCTTCATATATTTGTGTGACTGTGTGAGTATCTGTGCAGCTCAGCTTCCTTTGAGATCCTGCTCACTTCCTAGTGCTTAGTCTTTATTTATTGGGGGGCTCTTTAAGTTACTTGTTTGTTGGGGGGCTGCTTTAAGTTACTTGTTTCCCATGTGGAAACCAGCTGGAAAAGAAGCCCAATTAAGAAACTAATGTCCATATTTCAGGCTGTTCTTCAGTTTTGGCAACAGTATTGATCAAGATGGCAGTTATCATTGTTCCTAGTGGGTGGATTCCACCAACTCCTAACCTATCTCACCAGTGCCTGGAAAACAAGCATTGCCCACTTTCCTTTCCTGGGGTGGATTTTTTGAGGACATAGGGTTTCCATTGATAGACTTTTTGTATGACTCTGTCTCAGGGCAGGCGCAAGAGATCCAGGGCTGGCCTGGCCCAGGCAATGGCAGCAGCAGGAGCTGCCCACAGAGGGGGTGGGGGAAAGGAAAAAGTGGTGGTGGTGGTGAAGGCTTTGGCATCAGGGTGCCAAGATTTCAGGAGAGGTTGAGGAGTCCAAATATTAAAGGGAGGGGTGTTGGAGGTTGCAAGCCGTCAGCCCCCCTCTAGTTGTGCAAAGGGGTCCTTGGGAGAGGAGGTGGAAGGGGGGGGCAGGAAAGGAGAAGCTGGATTTGGGGAATGAGGTGCTGGTGGTGCAGGGAAAGGGGAGGAGGCTGGCCAATCTGACTCAACATGCCGGCGTCTTGTGTCCCTGTGATGCATTTTGCAGTTATAATTCATGACAGTTTGATACTTCGCTCAAAAACTGTACACGCCCTTAAAAGTAGCCCAAAATAGTCCAAAAAAACCGCAACCCGCGAAGGCCCCAAATTTCCCACAACTGATCTCCAAAACTCAAGTTTGGCCCAGAATTTGAGTATTCATGCAGCAAAAAACAAGCACAGGTTTCACATTAAAGAGGTAAATTTCATTCTTTATTTTTAATGTAAAAACACTGTTGATGCATATATACAGGCCTATGGATGAATATAATAATTTTGTAACTTCTGGCCTATATCTGAGCCTGAATGTGCAGGGGTTCCCCGAGGCCTACAAATTTT